GACTTCCAATCCATTAGGAAATAAGAACGAGGACGAGAGGGCAAGACAGCTAGTAAAAGAATGGGAAAATCGAGGGAAAGAGGATGGGAGCAGGAAGGAAAGCAGAAGGTCACAAACGGAGTAGAGAGATTACATAGATTGCTTTCCAAAGCAGATTTTCCCATTCCAGATCAGGAAATGAACCGACTTATGCTTTTATATAAAATAACTGAGAACACAGCCTTTCCGGGTGTGAAAATAGAAAGCAATGCATGTCGAGGAAACTGAACTCTCGATGTCCCAAAGAATCTTAAAAAAGCGCATCGAAAAGATCATCCAAATGCAGCATTTAGTAAATGCATTGCTTTGACTCGACAGCAGTATTAAGCGCCAAATCGAAACTGTCCACGACCGGAAGAAACACGGACGGTCATGTGACAAGGCTAAAAGACAATGGATAGACAAAACGGTTCTCGACTGTTGTTCTCACGACAATGGGAGAGAGGCCGCCGGTACACATGAATGGTTACTTGTGGAAGATCTGCGACAAAGCATGAATGGGAGTAGCTTTGATCGGCACCGATGGATAGAACATTGCCACGGTAATGCCACAGATCAGCAAAATAATCAAAGGCATTAAACATCGTTTTCAGTCCAAGATTAATGGGCGAACCGGGTTTCTTTTGGGATGAGCCCATAAGTAGATTAATTCTTAGATCTGTGTTTAAAGTTTGAGTATGTGCCTCTTTGACAGTCTGTATTAGTTCACCCGTCAGGATACAAAAAAATGCGGATTATGTGAAAGGTATGATTGCCTGTTGCCGTTGTTCATCACCTGTTCCAATCCAGGCTGAGGAAGGAAAGTGATTGAGAGTTAGAGGTAGAGAGTTCTCTCGTAAAACGTAGCCACACCTCCTTTTGTATTGCCGGTATCGAACGTTATATCGCTTTCGTCGTAGCCCAGGTTTCCAGTGGAGGTGTAGCCTGTTGGGGAATTCAGGTAGACTGCGAAAAATCGGTGATCAAAACCTACTGCACGCCTTCTGACAGCTAGACGCAAAGTAGAACGGCGACAGCTGCTGAGGATCGACAAGACGAAGAAGAACCAGTCAGCAATGGAGTCGCTACCTGTTCTGAGCAGAGGGGTCAGAAACTGCGGTGCCATTGTGACACGTCAGACAAGATTGTACAGGAACGAAACTGACAATGAGAATTCGCAGTCGTAAATTGAGGCATCTCATCACTCAGGAGGAGCAGGAGCTGGTTGATGAGGTCGCCACTAACCGACTGCATATAGATGATCTGTAGTGAACAAAATGCCAGGGCTTGGAAATTTTTAACTCCTGCGAATGAAAGCAATTCTTCTCAGGTTTAAACTTCACCACCCCTGTTGGAGCTCGTGTGGCTGTTCCGGTATATCCCAGCCAGCTTGTAAGTCTGTCAGCAAAAGAGTGGGGTTTGTCCGACCAAAGTTGCAACTTATGAACGCTTTGTTCCTGTTAAAGGTCTGTGCTCCTGATTCACAGGGAGAGTATGAGTTCTTCCTGGATGAAATAGAAGGTTCCGGATATAACACTCATGATTTTGATGGTCGATTTTAATGTGCATGTCGGATCAGTTGCTGGAAAGGCATGGTTAAAAAGGACTGCCCCAACAATCTTAACAATAACTGCATAAAAGTTTTGGCGGTTTTATGAAAACAACGGACGGTCCATTATGAACACCTTGTTGGAGCATCAATGCATGCATCAGTATAACTGGTATGGGGGAACCTGGTGTGCGGAAGTCGATGATCGATTGGAGAATTGCATCTTCAGACTTACACCGGCCTGTGCTCTGTATTGAATGTTCGTATTGAAGGAGGTGCTGAGCAGTCAAGTGATGCTCACCTTGTTGTTGGGACCCCTTGTTCCAAACGAAAGAGTGTCGCGCACAGAGTTTACGGTAGAGGCAACCAGAGGATCAATTGAGAAACGTTGTCTTGACAGATTACGACGACACAGCGTCTCAACACTATCGCAAGACGGGTTAAACACACTCCAATGATGATGGTTGATGTGGAAACAGAGTGAAAGGGCAGGCCTTAAGACTGACATACGGTATACTCATGGCTGCCGACAAATGCTAACGTTTAAAACGGGTTGGCCTGCCATCGGCATGTCAGAAATACACTACCTGCTGAATGCCAGAGTTCAGTTGGCTCTCGTGAATTGTGAATAAAGCTGCATTCTAGAGGTGGTTTGGAAGCCATGGCCTTCAACTATAATACGATACGAAGAAGCACTCAAGGTGGCAGTGAGAGCAGTGACCAAAGCGACAGCTGATTCATGGAAACGCTTCAAGATGTGCTGGAGTAGAATTTCCAGTCACCAAACAATCTATTCATCCGTTGTCTCTGAGATGGAAGAAAGAACAGTCTAAGAGTCCAGAAGCATGAGTCTGGAAGCCCTCTTACCTAGGTTAAGAATACAGTGACAATGGAGAGACTTCTTAACCCTGAGCAACTCAAGAAAGACTCACCTGATGAGCAGCAGAAAATATCAGTCGATCCGGAGACGAAGTCAGAAAAGCGGTAAGAGGCATGAAAGGTGGTAACGCTGCTGGAATCGATCGAATCTGAGTTGAGATCCATACGGCTTTAATCGAATAAAGAATGTTGTAGCTAAAACGCACTTGTCAATTTGTAGTGACTACGGGGAACACGGCAGCGGGCTAGATACGTGGGATGATAGTTCCAATATTCAAGAAAGTAAATTATGAAAATGCTCCAGCTACCGGACATTACGCTACTACCTCACCGAAAAAGTCTTCCGAAACGTTTAGAAAGGCAGGTGCCACGGAACAGCTGAGTCTGAGATCCGAGCATCTGTGCCATTTGGCTTCAGGGTAGGCTGAAACACCACTGACCAGATCTTCGCCTTACATAAGCTGCTGAGAAATCATGGGAGTCTGATCATCCGATCTACATGTGTCTTATAAGCTGAGAAGCCGCAAAAATATGTAGAGAAGCTCAGGTACCGTGGGACAGTGTGTACCAGTGGTGGAAAACGGGAGGAAGCGATTGACCGGCGAATTTAAATGTCTAACAGCGCTCTGCGTTAA